GTGACAAAATGTGGGAAAGTTCAAAGGGGCCGAAAACTTTTCCAAGCCGCTGAATGTGCTTCATCAAAACAAAAGCTTCAAGCCATTCAAACATGTCATAAGTCATACTCTAAATAATACAGAGTAAGCGGTATGTGCTGAGGACAGAGTCAAAGATTGGTAAATAAAACTGAAAATCTTAACCCAAATGCAGACATCTTAAAGAAAAACACACCTCGATTAACAGGATGTCCAAACAAAAGGCACAACAAACAGACAGCAGGCAGAAACACTCACAGGAAGAAGCCTAACAGTTTAACAAAGGTTAGTACCTAAGCAACAGCAAGTAACTCATACAAACATCAACTGAAAGTAAGTGAAACAATGGGGAAGGCAGAAAACAAGAAGATCAAAAACAAAAAAATGCATTAATATAATTCAAATCAGAACTATAAATAATTACACACAAATAACAATAATAATAATAATAATAGCAGCTTGATTCAAATGTAATTTACATTTACTATCAGGTAAAAATTACTAAAAACATTACCATCAAGATAAAGTGACACAGATCAAATTAAAACATCCCATCGTATCTTGTAATCCAATGCCAACTACAGGGTGGGCCATTTATATGGATACACCGTAACAACATGGGAATGGTTGGTGATATTAAAGTCCTGTTTGTGGCACATTAGTATATGTGAGGGGACAAACTCCTCAAGGTGGGTGGTGACCATGGTGGCCATTTAGAAGTCGGCCATCTTGGATAAAACTTTTGTTTTTTCAATAGGGAGAGGGTCATGTGACACATCAGACTTATTGGTAATGTCACAAGAACAACAATGGTGTGCTTGGTTTCAACGTAACTTTACTCACATATACTAATGTGCCACAAACAGGACTTTAATATCACCAACCATTCCCATGTTATTATGGTGTATCCATATAAATGGCCCCCCGTGTACTACTTATATTAAAGTAACATGTATTATAAAGTGTTTTTGACTAACAACTGCAGCAATAGGTACAATAAATTAATATTAATGAAAGTAGGGTTAAAATACAAAAGATCTGCTTTAACTGCATCATAAACATGTGGATCATCATGTAAACATATATGTTTATACACATGACATCATCAGCCAAAGCCCAGAGGTCACTGTGTGAGAGCAATAAAGGACATTTAATATCAGACATTCATGTTTCTGTGTAACTGTGAATATCCAGCGCTGACCTTATGAAGCTCTGCTACAAACCTATGCAGAGAGATCCACACCTGTTACAACTTTACATGTCCCAGCACTACTCTTTAATATTCACATAACCACTAGAGGTCAGTGTGAGCAGAGGGAGGAGCTCAGCTAGATGAGCATAAGTAAAGACAAGTTTAATATTCTCCTTGTCTCTCACAAAGTAAAGGAAAAATGAAAACTGTTAGAACCCGTTTGATGCCTGACAGCTGCAGTGGTTCTGATAAAGCGTGAGCAGTCTGAGATGTCAGTGAGCAGTAACAAGGAGAAAATGTTTGCTGCCTGTTGAACAGAAACACTTTCCTAGACAATTGAAAGCTGAATGATCAGAGAGACTTACATCAGTGACGCTGAGTCCTGGTTCTCCTCATAGATCCAAGAGTTCACAGAGTGGAGCTGAAGACTTCACTTCACCTGAGCTGGATCACCTCACCTGCAAACACTGACACAATAAGTCTCAGAACGTCCTGTCAAGCACAGCTGGCTCCACCTCTAAAACCAGAATGTTGAGTTCTTTCAACGAACTGGTTTGATCTGTTTTCCTGCAGTGTGAAACTCACACAGTTAACTGGTTTAAAAACACTGACAGACAGAGGGAGAAAAGCCTGGATGGTCACAGGGGTCATGGAGAGGTCCATCAGTACTGCAGAGAACATTTCCCATCATGCAGCTGGATCTGTTGATCTGTACACTCAGAACCTTAAAACCTCCCAGTCTTCTTCTCTTAAAGTTCTTCCAGAGTCCTGTGAATCATATCTTCACTGTTTTCTCCATATATATACACACTGTAGCTGCATGAAAGCACCTTTTGACTAGTTCTTTCTGTATTCAAAAGGACTTGCCATTTTTAATAAAACCAAATGTGTCTGAATGATGCAATAATCTCTTTGCAGCCATTCAGACACACCTATCTGGTCTGAATGTCATTCTGATGTCCTTAACCTGTAGAATGATGTAGACAAGATGGCAGCAGCATGTCTCCTTGATGAATTTCTGCTTTGAATTTTTGGGGTATTTTTTGTTTTTTACTATTTTAAATGGATTTCAGTTTTTTCCAAGTAGCTTTTTTAAGAGTATTTTAAAGCATTCTCTAAATTCTTGGAAAGTGGTCTATTTATTGGGACCTCTGCTTCTACCAGAAGTTGTCTGCACCACACCAGGGCCTGTGCTGCTAGCATAAACCAACTGAACCTCAGCAGCGCCTGTGCTGTTTGCTGAAGCCATCTCACTGCACCGGGGCCTTTGCTGCCAGCTGAACCAACTTTATCTGTGTTGCTAGTGGAAGACATCAGCACCACACCAAGGCCTGTGCTGCTAGAAAAAGCTCAGGTGCATTACATCGGGCGCCGTGCTGTTGATTGAAGCCCTCTACACCTCATTGGCCACTGTGCTAGCAGAAGCCCTCTGCTAGCAAGCCACCAGGACCTGAGCTTCTGGCTGGAGCCTTACATGCCATCCTAGGTTTGTGCGGCCTATTTAATTCAGCATCAACAATCATTGTGTGTTTTGGACAATGGCTTTCTTAATTACTTTACTTTACTTATTGGATCTGGGGGACTTTGGGATACTCAATTTTTCTAAGATGAGCACATTTAACAGTGTCCCCATTCTGCGAGACATGGTCCCCAGAGCTACATGCGTCACTGCTGCTGTGCATCCTATACAATTTTCAATGTATTTGGAACAGGACATGGATTTATCATTTGACCTACACAAAGATTTACCTCACCTCACGGTACGGTTTGGTGACGTCACCGTGAAATCCAGCGTCATGACTTTAACATTGAACAAATCCAGTCCGCACAGGCTCAGGGACAGACTTCATCCTTTTACTTTAACCCTGAAACATGAAGCTGTCGCTCATAATGAGACAGGAGCTCAGCTTTCAGCGTCACAGCTGGAACAACATCAGCTGACAGGGTCTGGTGTTTCTTTCATGTCAGCTGAGAGTAAGAAATTAAGGCTACGTCCACACGTACACGGGTATTTTTGAAAACGGAGATTTTCTGTTTTCGTTCTTTTCTTTTTGTCCCGTTTGGATCTTTAGCCATCAGAATTGTTGTCTTGAGGCCAAGAAAGATGCCAAGCGGATTTATTTTACCAAGTGGATCATCATGGCCTTGCCATATTGGTCCATTTGATTGACCTTTATTATAATTATGAATTTATTTTATTTTCAGTTGCAAACGGGACAGACATAACTGTGGGATAGGACAGGGGGAAAGAATGAAAGAAAGAGAGGGAGAGAAAGAAAACCAAAGGGGAGAAGAGACGGTGAGAAGGGGGGAAGAAAGAAAAAAAACAAACAAACAACAAAACAAAACTCCTGGATCACCTGTATGGAGAAAAAAAAACAGAGGAGACAGCAAACAACAAATATAGAAAACATAATAATAGAAAAAAAAAGCACCATCACAATAAACTAGCTAGTCATAGATATCAATAGTTACTAAATAATAAACGATATTGTGCAGCACGCAAGATAGACAGCGCACAATGTGCTTTGAGGCAGCAGCCAAGAAAGCTTTAGTCCGCGTCTGTGAATACCCATGTGTACACCTGTGTGCATACCTGTGTGGATCAGCATGCTTGCATTCCAAAGGTTTCTCCATGTAATGATCTGCTAGGGAGTGTGGGGAGCCACAGCCCTGTCCTCTATGGTATCAAGCAGGTATGGAGGAGATCAAAACTCCAGACATCCAGAGGCCCCCAGAACACAAGAGACCAAGGAAGACCAACAGAGGGGCTTCACTCCACATCAGCCGCTTTGCTAAAACACCGGAGTCGCCACATAAGGACGCTGTCATCAACCACGTTGATTGGCTGCGTATATACGAATCGCATCATTGGCTGGACTGTGGGATGAGGTGGCATCGTTCTAAACACATACGAGAGCAGCCAGTCACTGACTAACACTGCAAAACTGAATTGTTGAAGTTTTAATTTTAATTTCAATTCAGGTTCTATATATATATATATTTGTGCGCAGCGCAGATTTCCTATGCGCAGAGACGTGCCAGCAGCGCGCAACTGCGCACATGCACAGCGTAGAGGGAACGTTGGTCGTAAGACTGTCATTCATTTCCCACCATATGTTAAAATGATGTACATCAGGACATAAATGAAATTTTCACCAGATTTCATATTGAATGTTTGCCTTCATTCACAGCACAGAGACCAAACTGGCAGCATGTCAGTGTCTGACATTTATAGTTGTCACATGAGCAAATGCGCCTACCTTCAAGTATCTGTCATTCAACTGAAACCATTTTATTGGAATTTCTTTCATTCATGTATTAGTCACATTGTTTTATTGTGAAAAGCTTTGGTGCCACTGGGTTTTAGCATGTTTGCCTCACAGCCTATTCACGCAGCTGAACAGATGGTATCTGGGAAACAGGAGCATTCACACAGGAAAGGATTTTAAAGGATGTTACCTCCCACGCATCATTGTCCGCATTTATTAAATGCAAACTTCCATCACACCGTCCTGCTGCACACTCCTCCAACTGCTGAGGCAAGAAACATGAGAAGTAAAATCCTCAAGCGCTTTCCTTGTTCCTCTACAAATGCCTCATATTGCACTGAGGTGCAACAAACTAACAATGCCTGTGGTAGCAAACTTCACGGGACCTTTGATGGTGCGGCAAAAGGATGTTCTGAACATTTGGTTTGGGATTACATTAATGGCAGTAACGTTCAAATTTATGAGTTAAACTTACAATTTTTAAAAAACAGCCATCAATGAAACACAAATAGCATTTCTTCAGTTGCCTCCAACAACTGGATTTTATTAGTGCTGATAAACAGTGCAGAATATTCAAATTCATTAATCTAAATTAAATTATTATTAATTAATTTTACATGTCTGTTAATGTACATTGCTGCTAAACCATTATTAAAATGCATAACTCTTTTCCTCATAATTCAGACCATCCATTTTCATCGACTTACCCTTGATAATGTTAACGTAAAGACACTTCACGAGGAGCTTCAGATCGTGTAAAGTCCAGTGCTTCTTTATCTGCTGTTATTCCGGTGGAAAAAATGCTATTTCGTTGCTTAAAATGATGATTTCTGGTCTTTTCCAGAGGTTATCATTGCATTTCTCAGGCAAAAGGCGTGGCTTCATCAAATAAGTCCAATCGCAAACTAGGTAGGAGTTTCTCAGCTGTGCAGCAAAGGTACATCTGCCTTTGATTGACGTGTCATCCACCAATAAAAATCCAGCGTGCCACTTCATCATAGTCCAGTTTGTGAGGGCGGGCTGAGACGCTTTGTCAGCAGTGATGTCTCGCTATGTGCGGCGTGGCCCCAGGAGAGTAAATGGTTGCTCACATAAAAATACACATTCAGAATCTGAGCGACAAAGTTTTTAGTTTTATGTTTAAATGAAAAACAATGACACTGCAGAGTGTTACACATGAGCGGTTTGTTTTGTTGCATATGTAATTGGTCTTTTATTTTGAAAAATCGTTTGGGAAGGAAGAGGTTTTAGTGAAACCCAGCTGAAGGGCTCAGGTGGGTAAACCACATGCTGAATAGAGCTTTTTACATGTCATTTTGCAGGTGAGTAGAAGTGTACAGTCGCGCTTTGTTGTATCTGTATCTGTGATCTGAGGTCAGTCTGCAGACACAGCCAGGAGCTGAGCTCTGATTGGTCCTCTCTGACAGTGGGATGATGATGATGCTCAGTGTGAAGAGCACAGAGGGTCGTATGAACATGCATGATGCTGATCCACTAACATGCAGACACAGGTAAAAGTAAAACAGCGGGTGGATAATGTGATCAATGCAGAGTCTGCAGCAGACAGAAGAAGAAGAAACTGAGAGGACAACGCTCCATCGTTAGTTCATACATGAGAGACAGCTTCAGCTGTTACACTGAGCTTCCTGTTTCACATCCATGGAGAAGGACGAGCTGACGGCAGCCTCCTCTTCATCATCTCCAGCTTCATCACATCAGACTGGCTGACTGTTCAGTGGATGAGATTCTGCAACGTTCTTCTTTCTGTGGACAGACAGACACAGACTGAGCTCTGGACTCCCAGTCCAAACTGCACCTGCAGGTCCTCTGGTGTCCAGCAGAGGACCTGCAGGTGCAGTTTGGACACAAAGGTGTGTCCATGGTGTACATGGACACACCTTTGCTCAGCCTTCAGTACAGTTAATAAACTCAGCAACTCAGGACTCAGGAGATTGTTCTCCAGTCCACACCAGTAACACCATTATAAATGTGCTGATGACACCACCATCACAGGACTGATGGACAACAGCGATGATTCAGCATCTGAAGCGATGGTGTGACGACAACAACCTGCATCTGAACACAGCCGAGACCAAGGACATGATAATCCACTTCAGCAGAACAAAGGATCTGAGCACTCCACCCTCTACATTGATGGAGGAGGTAGAAAGGGTGGAGAGCTTCAAGTTCCTCGGAGTCCACATCTCGGCCGACCTCACCTGGTCCACAAACATCTCCCACCAGGTAGGGAAAGCACAACAAAGGCTGCACTTCCTCAGGAAACGGCGTCAGGCCCAGTTACCCCAGAGCTCCACCATGAAGAGCCTTCTGACCTCCTGCTGCACACTCTGCTTCAACTGCTGCACCGTGGAGGACAAGAGGAAACTGCAGCGGGTGGTGAGGGCAGCAGAGCGGCCAATCGGCACCTCACTGACCCCCCCTCAGAGACCCCGCCCCCCTTCCCTCTGATAAACGCTGCAGGGCCATCAGGACGAAGACAAACAGACTCAACAGAAGCTTTTACCCACAGGCCGCCCACCCTGCAGCCTGATTGGAGGATAACTCTGCTGCCAACACTCATGGACATCACACCTCATTTATACATCATATCTGTATTTACACTATAATGCCACCAACATATACACTGTGTTTGTTCTGTAGCACCCCCCCTTACTCACTTACAGAAGCACCCCCCCCTTACTCACTTACAGAAGCACCCCCCTTACTCACAGAGGCCGAATCAGTTATTCAGGCAAAACGTGGACTCACCCTTTAGACACACGAAATGAAGGCAAGCGCTTGGCCGCCTTGTTGCGTCTCCCGACTGCAGCTCTAACGGTCGTCATCAGGGGCTCTGCAGAAGAGAAACACAGCAGTGAAGCTAACGAAGCCTCAGACTGAGGGTCATGTTGTCATGTGATGGTGGGTCAGAGGTCTCTCCCTGCTGGATGACAGTTACCCAGCATGCCTCTGGGCTCACACGTGTGTGCAGAAGCATGTTAAAGATGATCCCTGCAGTCAGCACTCTCACAGTAAAAGGCATCAGTACGAAACTTCATGCAGGAACTGACATCAGCAGCTGCTGCCAGCTCACTCTCTCACTGACCTTTGACCAGGAGCGGCACTAGCTTGAGTTTCATGGTGTTCACAGCCCTGTCGTGGAGGATGCAGAGGTAAACTCCTCCATCTGCACAGACGGGGTTCCTCAGGGTCAGGCTGAGGTCAACTTCAGGCCGATTCAGCTGGTCGGTCTTCGTCTCCTTGGGTGGGAATGACTCCATCTCTGCGCGCTCTCTGTAATCTGTGTGCTGTTGGTCACGTTTGATCTGACCGTTCTCAAACACGCACACCTTCTTGTTTTCATGCGTCACAAAGAACCACTCCACTTTGACGACCTCACCCAGGCAGCATGTGTGTGTGTAGGGCAGCAGGACAGACGGCGCCCCCTCCATCACCTCCAGTGGTGTCAGCTGACTCACTGTGGGCAGAGCACAGGGACAGACTGAACCACAGCACGGGCAACAGGTTTAACCAGCTGCTTCTCCACCCGTGACCATCACATGAACAGCCTGTTACCATGGCAACACCTCAGCTCACCATCATGTCATCAGTCATTAATTTCATATCATAATAGTAATAAACTGACGAATGACTTCAGTTTGTAATCTGATAACAATAAATAACTTATAATAATTTAACAATAACGCAGCTTTGGTTTTACTCTGACTGTGCTTTTATTTTGAAACATCAGGGGTTGTGTCCATGGAAACAGTAGCTCATGCATACTAACGCTGCTGTTGGTTGGACCTGGCTACCGCATCACCTCCACCTCACCACCTAACAGCCAATCAGCTACTGGTTGATGATGTCATTCAGGCTGATTGGACGTACAGGAGCCGGTGTGGAGGTCAAAGGTCACAGACTAGTTGCAGTCACACACAGCCTCACCTGTCATGAGCTTCTCTCTTTCTCTCACGCGATACAGGAGGACAACAACGACAGCACCGAGGAGAAGCACAGGAACCAGGACAGCGGGGAGGACTTTGGGCCAGACAGGACGTTCTGTAAGGAACACAAAGAAGCAGAACATCATCCTGTACGACCTCTGACCTCTGATCATGTTCTCCTATTTGACCTTCTAGCTGAGCGCTGCTGAACCACACAGACCTGTTTAACCAGTCAGTGACCAGCGTCTGTGCTGCTGATGGTTGAAGCAGCACAGACGTCCTCTGTCTGTGACTCCATCCTCTCTGGACCTGACCTTTGACCTCATCAGGGTCAGATCCACAGCTGGAGTGAGGGTCTGAAGCTCTGTGACTAATGAGGTCACAGAGACTGTTCATCAGCATCCGCCTGTAACACAAGGTGGATGCTGATGTCAGCGATGACATACTCGTTAAGGTTTCCACGGAAACACAAACCTGCGTAAGCCTCTTCTGTGTAACTGAACGTGTTCACATACGTGAAATATTTCATGTTGCTGAACTTTCTGAATGCGTGTGATATGATTCAGTGTGACCTCTGACCTGAACCTGCAGCACTGACCTTTGACCTTCAGCTGGACTTCAGTCCTCTGCTGGTCCGCTCCATGTTTGCGGGTGACACAGGCGTAGGTCCCAGTGTCGGTGAACGTGGGCTTCCTCAGAGTGAGGCTGAGGTCTCTGGTCTGCAGGGCGTCGGCGGACATTGATGTTCGGTTGGAGTAACGCTCGTTTTGTTTGATGAGGTCTCCGGTCTGCAGGGCGTCGGCGGACATTGATGTTCGGCTGGAGTAACGCTTGTTTTGGTTGGTAATGTCATCTTTTCCCTCCACGATGGCGTGAACGATCTGAGAAGACAGATCTTCGCGTTTCCACACAATCGCATGATCCTTAGGAACAACCATGTTACAGGGCAGCAGGACAGACTCCTCCCCTCAAACACCTCCACCCCTGATGCATGCTGGGACGCTGAGGACACAAACACAAGTTTAATCAGTGTGGTTTCCATGGTAACCTGACAGCGTGAGCAGGTGAACAGTTACCTGCAGCTGAGCGTGGGGCTGAGAGGAGGAGATGTCAGGAGTTTATCAGAGAGACTGAACACGTCTGAGCCACAATCACGACATGTTTGATAAAGACTTCCTGTGTGTGTGCGGGACAAACCGTGTGCACTGATGGGAATCTGTTTGTGTCTCTGTGTAGACGCAGTTAGTGAACTGTGCACCCACATCTGTTACACCTGCAGATGTTCTGTCTGCTGGAACATCTGGAGCATAGCTGATGTTCTGCACGCTGTGAACAGAAGCTCCACACCTGCTGGCAGCTGCAGCTCCACCCTCCTCCTGTCACAGTAAACTGCACAGAGGGGAGGAGCTGCTGAGGTCAGCACGTCAAACAGATGTGCAGCGCAGACACACACACACCAGCAGCTCCAGATGTTTGATGAAGCGAAACTCGATCAGCTTCCTGCCGCAGCAGTGGCTCACACTGCGAGCTCCGCCCAAACATGGCGCCCACAGGACATAACGTAAATCACCAAGAGCAGCTGTGTGTGTGTGTGTGTGTTACACAGAGAGCAGTGTGTGCATGTAATCTGCTCTGAGCCTCGCGCGTTGGTGACATGTGTACAGATATGATCAGAGAAAAGAAGCGCGGTCACGATAGCGGCGCGTTAAAAATCTTTGCGCGTTTACATTCGTATTTACGGCTCCGCGTGTAGACGCAAACGGGGAATTCATGGTGCGTTTAAGTACCGTTCGTACGCATGTACGTATGTTTAGCAGTAAAGCTTCTCTTCCAACTGTATCTTTAGTAAATGGACAACACTCACAAATATTGATACTAATGCTAATAATCATAACCGCTGTTTGTCCCACTCACAACTTTGATTAACTGGAAATTGTCTTGTAGCAGGTTAAGGTAACGACATATTAGCATAAAATCATTAAGCAGAAACCAAAAAATTATCAACAAGTACAGATACTGTCAGTAAACTTCAGCTTTCTAATAAATATATGATCCTTATTCCAGTAAAACATTTAAGCTGTGTGGCATCAGGAGATGGATTAACTTTGTTATAACTTTATTATTGTTTGTTATTATTTTGAAAACAGCATCTAACCCCTCAGTGTGGACGCTGCTCTAAGAACAGTACCGACAGACTTATACAGCTTCAAAATAAAGGAAGAAGCTACTCTCAGCTTCTCCCTCACCACAGCACTGCAGGTTTGATCTACACAGGATGATTTTCTCGACGCAAAGCCAGGATAGGTTCGTGTCTCCGCCTGGAACTGACGCAGTGACGTTTTATTAACCGCTACATCGGTAGAAGACAGATTTTCAAAATAAGAGCAAATGAAGAAAACATCGCCTTTTTGAAATCTCCATAGATATCTGGGGTTTACGGGGTGCACTCAAATGCACCACAAATTCGCCCTTTTTACCGTACCACGCGATATAGATGCCCAAGCACTTTTTAAGACTCGTTAGCTCCCAGCTCCGCGGTGACAAAGGGCGGAAATCTTACCGAGAGCGAGGATCACAAACAGCGCACACATCTTCATCTTCATCATGAATCCAGCTGATCGCCTTTAATCTCTCTGAACTAACCCCGCGGCCACATCGCGCTCCTCCGTCTCTCCGCTGACGCACAACTAAAAGTACTTCTTCTACTTACACCGGAAGCGAATCTGGGCCATCGGAGCGTCAAATGACACTTTCAAAATAAAAGAACGCAGTTTCAGTGGGAGAAACATTTCTGACCTCCCAGCCCATTGTTCCTTCAGTGGGCTGCTTTCAGTCATTGTGCAAATGTGCTGTTTATAAGGTTGGAAACATGCAGTCAGCTGAGACTGAAGACGTCACCTGATGAAACCAGCTCACTGAATGAACAATGGGCTGTGAGGTCAGTTCCTTGATCATTAATATTGTCATGATCATTGATCAGTGGCCCGGGATACCATCCACATACTTGGGGAATGCTTTTTTATGGACTGGAGCATGTTCTTAACAGATTCCGAACATCATCCTCATCATCTACCGTGCATTCAAAATGTAAAGCAAACTTAACTCGCTCTAACAATAACCAAAACTTCCATTGAGAGAATATTGTGAAATCTGAATGTTTCCTTTAACTTGAGATCAGAAATGGAAAGAAATGTTTGCGTCAGTTACATCACTTCTGTCATGGTCGTGCAATCAGACCGTGCGGAGAGATTAATGGGATCCAAGTGCAGATAACTAGAGATGGCCCGCGTGAAGCTGACGCCCCGGCACTGTGTCGAGGCTTGATTCGTTTGGCCAGAGTCAGGTGATCAGTGACATCCTTCATTTAGAGCACAGTCAGGGATTCAGTGGGAAGTGAATCATTCCTGGGATCTGTGGAGTGTTTTGATGGTGACAGAGTCACTGATCATCCTACTGGAAGACACGGAGCCAGCGAGGCGGCGAGGAGCTTCTGTCATGCATTTTCAGTATTTTGAGCTGACTTTGTTCAGGTGGGCTTGCCAGCTTTGTTGTTCACTTTTGTTTTGTGTGTCTTTAATTATGTGAAAAACTTGTCTTTGTGTCTATATGTGAAGAAAATGTCTGAACAAAACAAAAATCAGCTTTTCATAATATAAATATCATTAAATAACTTTAGAAACTTTATTTTTTAAAATAAGCTTAAAATGTTATTCTACAAAATGTGCAGCAACGTGTTTGTTCTTTTTTATCTGGCAGTCTGTGGGAGAGTTTCTGCGCTCCAGCGTCTTCTGCTCATGTGAGAGGATTTCCTGTGAGGCAGGAGAAATGATCTCCAAGAACAGAAACTCTGCTGTCGCACAGTGGAACAAATTCTTTTCTTAAATAAAAATGAAAAGGCTTACCTTAAAGGCGTCATGCTTTTACTTTACAAGTTTTAAAGTGTTTTCCTTTTCCGGTTCACGATCAGTTCGACCCCCAGGCCAAAAATGTGTAGAAGGAAGTTGGCCTAATATCACATTTATAGACATACCTGTCCAGCTGTCCAGTGATTAATTGCATAAGAACCTCGCAGCAGAAGCATACTCCATAATGTGTTGTACATTATGTGTATATTATATGTGTTTTTTATCTATTGTATTTACCAACATCAAGAAGTCACAAGCAAAGAAAGACCACAGCACGGTGCACGTTTCAACAGCAACGTTTATCAATCAGATTTATTTATTAAACAAATAAACATAACAATTCGCACAACGGTGACGCGACATCAGGCAGGATTGTGACCTCCACTCTACAGAGTGGGAGGTCACAGTGAAGCAGATTCAAGCTGCGCTTCATATTGTTGGCCACCAGAGGTCACCAGAGAGGCCTGTGCTGAAACGCTTTGAGCAATGAACCGGTGTTAGGATCAAGCTTCAAAGCTTCAGAAAGCTTCATGTGGCCATACAGCCAGCAGAGAGACAGGTGCAGGTTTAACAAAAATGCCTTTATTTGGGCTGCACAACAACACTACGATAAACTAACAAAGACGTAAACTGGGACAGCTAAACGCAACGGTGTGAAATACAAAGAAAGAAACAAATAATACAAAAAAATCTGAAACTAGGAACCGGCGGCACAAAAACACCTGGGATGACATGCAGGACGATAAACGGACAACCGGAGAAGGAAAAGAGGGAAACGCACTGAAAATACTCAAGAACAGGAACACAGCAACATAGCTGCGATTAATCACATGTGACAAGGCGGGCAAGAGAGCAAAGCTGAGGGCACTGACACAAAACACCGACTGTCAAAGTAAAACAGGAAATACAAGACAGACACAGACTTGACCCTGGAGCATGGAACCATGACTGGAGGAGAAGTGAGGCGCGAGAGCAGAACAGAAAGCAGGAACACCAAGTGTAGGACAACAAAACCATAGTACAGAGAACGAAACTTCAGCCAAACACACAAAACACTGGTAACAAACCCAGGACAACCTCCACTAATGTTGTGTTACAAATAATTTCTTCTTATGTGCACGTGGCCTTTCAGTCAGTCCATGAAAACAGAACTATGATGTCCAAAGCAAACAGCAAGAGAGTCTCCAAACAGGCCTTGAAATAAAATTGTGGAATCGTGTGAATATACAGCTCTGTGTGGAATGTGTCTGTGACTACTTTGATCCAGTTACATGATGAACATGTAGTTGCTGCTGTCTGCACCTCTGTTTGTGTCCTCGCTGGCAGGAGAGTGGATAATAATGACTTTAAAACTGTCACAGTGGATTTTTAAACACACAAGATGAAATGTGTTCTTTCAGCAGACAAATCCACAGCATGCTAACATCTCACATAAAAGAACAAAGGCTCGTCACATAAAAAACTGACTGTAATGTCATAGCTCATTCAGGTGGTGTCTGAGGGGTCCAACACTTGGGTCATCTTTAGTGCTTCATGTGCTTTCGCTGGGTTTTGGGAAGCTGGGCAGACCTGTGTGGGAACACTTGTTTTCTAACGAAAACACCAGAAACCAAACAAACCCCTTTGGTGAAGGACACCTGTGTTCACATTTAGGACAGAGAAGATGGTTTGAAAGCCATCTATGTGCACTGTGAAAGGCCCCGCCCTCCGTTCAAAGAGGGCGGGGCCTTTCACAGTGCACAGTGCACAAAACTTTAGGATTAACAATAGGTGTGCCGTTTAATAGGCAAAGGCAAAACTAATGCAAAACCAAGCATGAACCTAAACTGGGTTAAATTTTGACACACAAACAAACAACGTGGAGCAATCGCACACAGACGGTTTGTTACAGCGGGTGGGAAGGGCCAGCTTTACTTACACAGCCTCAGATTTTTACAGTTAGATGTAACAGATGTAACTTCCACTTTTGATTAAGATCTCTCCATCTGCATATTTCTTAGGCGTCTTTATTAAGCTCTTATTTATAAATGTCTACACAGTAATAGACACCGTGTGCT